GTATACTAGTGTGTGTGTATGTGTGTGTGTGTGTGTGTGTGTGTGTGTGCGCGCGCGCGCGCGCGCGCGCGCGTGTGTACGAGCACATATATACCTCTCGTCGTATTCGTGTTGCACAGGCCGATTTATTGATCACACGCGTCGCACGCAATACGACGAATATGCGTGCCTATTATGTCGCAACCGTACACGATGTCTGAAAAGTTCCGTTCTATGATTTCATACACTGTAGTTATCTCAAACAAATGCAGGAGCAAAGAAAGCCGCCTCGGTAATTGCAACAAGTAAAAGCAGCCAATACTGTTACAAAGCAATGAAGCAATTAACAAACGCGGACGTTAATTACTAAAGAGTCTTGTTGGAGCTTCACAAACTTGAGAAATAAAAATCATTACCAATTAACTTCGTATGAAAAATATTTCGATATCAATATTTATTGTAAATTATATTCGATATTTAGATGCACAAATAGCGCATTTACAAGTCTCAAAATAAAAATATGTCAAATATATTTTATATGTATTTATGACTGTGAAAATAAATTCAATAATTTTAGTTAGTAGATGTTTTTATATTAAAAAAATGATTTATATCATTCACAAATGTATTATCTCTAAACAAATACATAAAATACAAACATTCCTAATAAAACAACAATTACAATGCATAAACATATTTGTCGTATTTATTTTTAAACTTTTTATGTTATTTCTTTATTAATAAATAATGTTGCATAATATTGCATAATAATTTGTTACAAATATTTATAGTAACGATAAAAGTACATAATATAAATAAAGATAAAATTTTATAATATCAAGAAATACGTTTATATACATTGCAATGTAGAAAATTTGCAATATATTACAATTATCTTTTTAAACTTATGTTTTTTTAGAATCAATTGCATTTTGCTAACTAATAAATTGCTACAAGTTTAATAATTTCCATTAAATTAATACATTTTTGTGCCAAATATATTAAAACATATAAAGTATATAAAAAAAGATTTAAATCTGATTTTTAAATCTGATTCTATCAAAATTTAGCATATTCTTGCAGTACTTATTTGCAGTACTCAAAAGTTGAATAATAAACAACAATAAGAAATAGTTTAAAAGATCGTATAAATTACGCGCCATAAATAACTTTCTAGTTTCCGACATTTTTCTGTTAGGCGGTAGCAAATTGTGCAAAGCAATGTAACATTACAATTGTCCTTATTGAATTACTCATATTCTCTGTACGCGACTTTCCAGAGTCATAATATTATTCATGTTGATTTTGCAAAATAGCATATTGTTTTATACATTTTATTCTTAAATAAATCCAACATACATACACACTTTACATACAACAAATTATGTAAAGTATTCATGCGATTATATCATTTTTTTAATTTCAGAGCTGATTAATAAATTTGGTATATTTAAAAAGTAAAAAAAGTAAATATTCAAAAAAGCTGTGCTAGTTCAGCATTTTTTTATTAATGCACAAAATTGTTCAATGTATGATATAAATTATATAATAAGTTTATCTTCATATCTTAAAAATATATATTAAATATTGCAAGTAGTATTGCTCAAACTTTGATGATAGGTATCTATATAAAAGTAAGAAATTTCAAATTTCATTCCTAGCTATATTATATCTAAGAATTTCAATTTCTTATTAGTAATGATGATAATAATTATTTTACGCTTTAATAAAACTAGTTTAGATTATATTAGATTTTCTCTAATTATCTTCCTTTTAATATACTTTATATTTATTTTTGCGTTAAAGAAAAAAAACATCTTTAGTTAGTTTTTTTAACTTATTTTGCAAGTAATTTGAATTTAAATTTAAGATATCTTAAAAGAAATTAATTAAAAATTTTTTTAACATTAAGATAATATTGTTGATTTATTTTAATAATTTTATGGAGATATGATATTTCATGTTAGTATGCATAAAGTCATTAAATATTTTTAATTTATTCAAAATATCTTTAAATAATTAAATAACACTTTAATTTATATTTATTTTTATTAACATTTTATAATAAAAAATTTTAAATTACTTTTACAAAAGAAAAATTTAATTTTAATGTGATGTAATTAGTGATCATACGATAAGTAATTGATTGTCGATATAATAATACAAATATTGAATGTCAAAGACAACTGCGTATAAAAATCATGAAATCAGGAAATTGCAACATTGCGTTCGATAAAATAGGTTGATTATTCAGTATTTAAAAATCATTCAGTCGAATGACAGCAATAAAATTACAATAACAAGTTAAAAACGAGAAAAAGTTTGCAGTACGTGTAAATATATCATCTTTACAATCAATTTCAATACATGATTTATCATTATCAGTCAATATACGAATATATCAAAATCGCAATAATATTATTGCGATTTGTTTTTGCAAAAATAAAAAATAGCACATGTGTTATTTTTCATTAATCATTATCAATTACTATATTAACCTATTATCAATTTTTTTCAGTATCTTTGAAAGAAAAAAATTACTTAATTTTTTAAAAACTTTTTGCCAATTGTTATTAGTTGTTTTTAGCATTAGACATCTAATATCTAATAATCTAAAATCTATAGAATATGTAATCTTTTCTTTATACAGTGTTACTAAAAGAATATAATCGTCGAATAATGTAAAGCGAAATCTTACGAAATTGGAAAATCCGCATGGACATTATTGCATTCGATAATAACTTTGTGAAAGACGAGAATTTCTTAATAAAAGCAACTGACTTTTTTATAATAAAATTGCAAACGTCGTTAATCACCAATTATCCCAATATTAAGAAACAAGATAAGCAAAGTACTGTACGTTTTATTATCTCGATCAATCATATTAGTAAATCCGTCATAGAAACATGTGTAATAAAGAACATGTGTAACAAAGAAAAAATTGTAGCTTCATTAAAGAAATTGTCGAAAAAGATATCGTCGCAGACTCATATGTAGCAGAATAAACTCATGTGAATTAACTTGTATCAGAATTTGATCTGAATTAAAACTTATGTTGATGATGTTGACAAAATAATATTGGAAATCACGATGAATTTAGATTAAAATATCAAAAAAGTAATAATAAAAGTAATAATAAAAAAAGTAATAATTTTATGAAATTTCAAGTAAATGCATATTAGAATTGATCTAATCATTTGAAGCAGATGTAATATACCAGATAGTAAAGAGAGAATTGCTGAAATATCTTTTCTAAATCGTATCCTAATTTCATCAATTTATAAAGTACAGATCCAGAAATATAAATGTAAATATATAACAATTTTAAACGTCAAATTACAATTTTCAATATTAATTTATGTACAAATTAGTATCAAATAGAAAATGACATAAAATGATAGATTTTAAGAAACCGGTACAGTTTCAGCAATTCTCTTCTGTAAACAATTGCTAACTTATACTTGACAAAAATAAATTTACACGCGGAAATCCGTAATTGCGTATTGACAGATTGTTAAAAAATAAATGTTTACTTTACAACAAGTATAAATTGCGGAAAATAACGTGAAGCATTTCAATAAATCGTTACGCTATATCGCGTAATGTATCGTAATGCATTCAAGCTCCAGAGAGAATTTTGCTAAATGAGTGAATTTTATTAAATTGTATTTTCGTAAGGAGTCGTATCACTTCACGCGCGCACTATGCACGATCGCAAAACACGTAAGCTCGACTATAAAAGCGCGCACGTCGAACAACGAGCAGGACGGCGCAATTAATGGCGTGGGCCGTGGTCGATCGTGCAATTAACTTTAACGAACGGGCGGCCTTGCGATTAAACTTAATTAGTATCGCAGTAATAACTCGTTAATAATCAGAACCGTGTACAGAGTCGTGGCTCTGTATGTGCACAAACGTGCACGTGTACGAGGGCGCATCGTCGTTCTCCGAGCATATAAGTATCTTTTGTGAACACGTGTGTATATGTGCGAACGGTGTATTCCCGCGTGATTGTTTGTGTGTTTGAAAATACGCGATTGTGTGGGTGGATTTTATATTTGCTGTGACGGCGGTGTTGACAAAGAGGAGAACGACGACGATGAAAAAAACGAAATGTCGATTAGAAACGACTCTTACGTCGAATCAAAAAGCATCAATGAGTACAAGTGCACATTTAATGCAAACGAGAAGAAAAATTAAAGAATAAATAGAAGTTAAAACAGAAGCAGAAGCACTTAATTTTTAGTTATATACATTTTCCTTCGATTTGTCGCGCAGGAATTGTGTGGAATTAATATATTTGTGATTACCTCTACTTTGATATCTTTGGTATCTGATGTCTGTGGTATTTTTCTGTGGTATCTGGTATCTAATTGCACTAGGAGTTGAAAATAATAATGAAAGGAGAATCCCTTTGTCCAGACGTAAATGGCTTGTGGAAATTGACGGAGCAAAAGATAGGAATCCAGATGAATTGTGCGTAACAGAGAAACGGCATCAACTGACAAACAACCAACTGACAAGTAGAGCGGACTGTCAATGAGGCACTGCGTTCCTTTTCATTTTCTTCCTTAATGCGCGTCTCGCTCAGCACCACTAGTTCCGAAGCTTATCTCTTTCTCTCATGCGCAGCGACACTCGCCTCATCCTCTCGGAGGCGCGACATACGAACCGCGAAGCCGCGCGCGATACTACGCGTGTGAAGATCAATGAATCCCTTTAATATGCGCGAACGTCGCTCCTTCGCGTGGCACGTAGAACGAGAATTTTTCCGGAACGGTCCAGTCGAAAACGTAAAGTAACGTAGTTAAAAACGTGCACACTACCGTCCTTTTTTTCGGCTGATGAATGTCACAAGAAAGGCGGATTGTAAAGCACGAACCTGATTGCAGGGCGGCCCGGCGAATTATGGCTCTCTTTACGCTTTCGGCGGCTGCTCCGTTCCCTCTACTGCTCATGCCCACCTCCTCGTCACCCCCGTGTACTCACTTCTGGCTCTCATATGATCCCCACTCGTAGACGAATCCATCCCCACCAACTGGAATTCCTACCATTAGGTCTGTAGCTGATATCCCCGCCACCAAATACGAGAATGAGGGAGAGGTGGATAGAACGTCGGTACCTTGGGGATGTGATGGCTGAGATGACGCGCAAGCATACTTTACGTCTTCCGGATGTGAGATTTTAGCGCAAGAATGATTTTTCGAGCAAGCGTTTGTGCGCCATGGAAGTCGACACAATTTGGTGACACAAGATGTTTCTACTTTGCCATCAAATTTTTTCCAATATATCATGTTCTCTAATAATTACCTCCATTGCTAAGAAACATGATACATTGAATAGTTTTTGGAAAAAAGATTGCACAATTCTAATTTATTATTAGATCATTTATTATTAGAATTAATAACATTGATGTTTGATTTCTATTAACGTAAATTAATAAGAAAATGCTTTGAAGGAATAGAAAATTTAATTAAACAGATATATTATCTGACGAATCAAAATGTTTTTATTTAATTACAAAGAAAAATAATAAATAAGGAAAATGGAAGTATAATTTGATAATACAAAAATGAAATAATGAAAATACTATATTATAATAATTATATTATTCTAATACTTCTCTTCGTATATGTGATTAACTTAAAGTGATTCCCATTATCAGATTTAATACTGTTACTTCTATAAGCGCGAATCTATCTTTATTCTTGGAGTGACTAAAGCCTCGATCAGGAAGATGTGGATATTAAAGTACTTACTTAAATATTTCTGTACTATATTCGAGATATCGAAAATATGTAACTTATAAAGACACCTTTAATGTCACAGTTTCGGAATAGAAAGTAATCGATACTGGCAACGAGAATATTTATCTCAGAATTAGTTCTTAAGGCATGTTCTTAAGATGCATATTCTGCAGATAAATGCATCGTTCGTTACAATTTCTTTGGGGTTTTCTTTTATTTCAATCTCAGCAATAAAAATTTTTTTAAATTTGGGAATTTGAGAATTTGAAAATTTGAAAATTTGAGAATTCAATAATATTTAAACAATAATTCTACGCATTAAATAAACACGCAGACATTAAATGTTTATTAATTATCTTCAAATTTAAGACATTAAATGTTAATTAGCTACAAATATTTTTTAGCTTCAAATATTTTTTCTATATATAGTTACATCGTATTGAAATAATTCAAATACATTAAGAATACATTAGTCATTTTTCATAATAGTAATATCTCTTTTTACTTAATAGTTTTTGAAAGATTGAGTATTTTCCTAGTTGTTATATATTCGTTTTATTGTAATTTTTGTTCTAAAAATATTATTTATCTTTCGTATATGCACTACGCCACTAAAATATTAATAAGAATTAAAGAAACGTCAAAGTAGAAGAATTACAAAGCTTTGGTATGTCAAAATTATAAAGATAAAGATATAGATTTAGAAATAATAAAAAATAATAAAAAAATGATAGAGAAATATTAATTTATAGGAATATAGAGTATTCTCGTACTATCACTTTTTATCAATGACTGTTACGTAAATAAAAGAAAAAATGGAAGTTGTGATTAAAAAGAGGCTAATAAAAAATCAGTAGAAGTAAAATTATATTCAAAAATTTCAAAGAAACTAATTTAAGAAACTAATTTATTTACGAAAATAACTAACAGTTTTCTCCTGTTTATTTACGTTTTTCTATATCTATTTACCATCTATTTTAAAAAATACTTTATTCTTTTTTAGAGATGTATATGAATAAGTTTACGTACTGAGCAACAAATTTCTGAAGGTTACAATACTATTGAAATAGCAAAGTTTTCATAGGGTATAAGAGGGATACAAGATTTCCAAGGTTCCAATATAATGCGTTAAAGTATTTAAAAAAGTATGTAAGAGAAGAGGAGGAGCAATAATCTGAATATTTTACAAAGCAGCATTTATATAAAATAGAATTAATAATGATTATCGAAAGATAAGAGAAAAAGAAAAGAAAGATAAAATTGAAAAAAATTAAAATTTGTTAATCTTAACAACAAGAATATATAAATAATTTATTATTTATGATTGTTGATTGAAAAAAAAACCTTAGCTAAAATCAATATTTAATTGAAAAATTCTTTATATAAAGTTTAATTAGAAACTATTAGAAAAAAATAATTGTGTGTATATTCATGTTTTAAACTCGTATTGACCTTTGTATTGCATTAATGTTAGATTTCTTTAATACATAAATCACACTTTAATACATTAATATATTAATACATCAATCAATAAATTTTTGCGTCTCATCATCTCGCGCCAAAGTACGTATTTATTTAGTAGATTTACATAGAATAGATGTAAGATAATAACAAAATTATTAATTATTTAAGAAAATATTGTTTATTTTATATTAACATTTGTTATTTATGTTAGTCAGTAATTTTATGAGTATGGGATTTATCTTCTTTATAGTAAATATTTAAATAATTTAGTTATTAGTTAAAAATAGTAAACCTCCCATGGTGTTAAGTCAG